TGTTCTGCTCAGCGCTGGGAATTTGAAGATGTTCCCAAGCAGGTGAGAGCCAACCAGAGGAGGAAGAGGAGGGAGGCAGGGAAGGGGTTCCTTGCAGTGGAGAGATTAGGCTGGAAAAGTAAGCAAAGGTCAGATTTTAAGGCATGGAGCGAGCTTGTACTGTTATCATAAAGAAAGGACAGCACTAAGGATCTGTAACGGTGCAAATTCCGTCTATTCCTCGCCAGTTATTTAAATCCCAAGTGACTTCTGTGGTTTCCAAAACAATTACTGGCTCTCCTTGGCAGCCTTACTCTGAATTTATACCTGCTATTTTTTCCCATCCTAGGGTCATTCTCTGCTGTTGCGTCTCCACTTATTTTGTACCTGCAGCATACATTCAAGTATTCTATTTTTGGCTTAAAAATGTCCAAAATACATACTACACCTATTTTAAAACTTCCCTATATTTACAGTGTCATTGTTCCTCCAGTGAAACAATGTCATTTAATATCACTCTTCTTACCTCTTATTTATTTCTTTAATGGAGGTACTGGGGATTGAACCCAGGCTACTTTCAGATGTTTGACAGTCTAGAATTAATTGACTGAGTCATTTTAAAATTATTCAAACAAACGAGTAATGTTAAGGAAAATTACGTGGGAAAAATATAAAATTGCCTTCAGTATCATGCCATTAGCATAGTCATTTTTTAAACACACAATATATACTCATTGACTTGGCAGTTACTTGCTGCCTTAACCAAGTTGAGTGATTTTTAAAATCAATTCACTATTGGCTTATTTGACTTTATACGTATATGTATATTTTCCGAATATGTTTAATCCTGTTCCAGTGGGTCTGAGTTAGACGACAGGCAAGGAAAAATGAACAGAACCAACGCCCAGCTCAGGCTTGCCTTTATTGTAGAACTCGTCTCTTGCTAATTCCCAGGAACAGTTCTGGTCGTATGTTCATGCTTTTCCATACGTTTTGTTTCGGTTGCAGCAAAATCAAACACCCGCAAAGCAAAGCATGCTAAAACAGACGATCACAGCACAAAGCAGCAGTGCATAAAATGAGCCTTGTCTCCTTTTTCCTTTCTTACAAATTCCATTCTTTTGTAAACATCCTGTGAAGAGCGGGCATTGACTATAATGTTAGTAGCCTGACGGGGGGTTTACAGAGCAATCGGTTTTAAATGCACCATTAGGGTCACACTGGAAATAAGACATGGGCGTGGCTTTCTATTTCTCTGAATAGACTGAAGACATTCTTAGGAGATGCTGAACCTGAGTGCCTTCTACTCGAGTCCAATTTGAGATACAGATGTGATGAAAATTAGGGCAAATATATGCTTTAGTCAGATACATCATCACCACTGATGCCCGGTACAGAGTTGTCAAAGAAATGATTCAGTTAATCCTTCACGGTCCATTGTCCCAATTCTTGGAGGAAATAAAATCATTCCTAGTTTCTTGGGTCTGCTCACTGAAGTCCTCACTCAGGAAAGTCTTTCCTTCAAATTCAAAACAGAACAAATTGGCATGTTATTAGCCAACTGTTTTCATGAAAAATTGCTGCCACTTACCACTCTACCTCTAATCGATGATTTAAACTTTCTGGTGAGAGCCACGTGGAATTGCACACGCCAGTGGAGCTACATTCTTTCCTGCTCTGATCATCTTGTGTCCTCAGCATCTGCAAAGTAGAAATATGCATTGCTCTTAATGTCACAGGATATGTTAAAAAATGTTCCCTCTTGAGCCTCCTCCTTTTTTATGCCACATAAGAAAAAAAACATGCACAGTTTTGCCATTTTCAATAGCCATAATAAAAGAGTGATGTGATTCCAGATAGAAATGAACAACATACATGAGGTGTAGACACATCTGTTCCTGGGAAAACCCAGGTACACCGGTGATCTGAAACCCGATACTTAGCACATTTAGTGGCTGGTACCATTGATGCAGCTAGAAGGACTGTCCGGAATCCCTCTGATCTTTTTTTCACCATTAATATCTAGAACCACCTTCCTTTTCCCCTCATCCCTCTGCCCCACTCCTCCCCGATCACCCCCACGTGAGCTTTGGCCTCCAGCATCAGCGCCTACTCTTCTCTGGAGGGATGCCGTCCAGCTACAAGAGTGGCTTTAACCACACTCAGCGGGAGTACCTGGGAGCTCAGAGCCTGCCTGGGGCAGCCCTTGACCCAGCAATGACCTGTGAGGGAGTAAGAAAGCCTCAGGTTGGGACGACACCGTAGCATCACTCACACGCCTGAGTGCCTGGCAAGAGCAAGCTGAAGCTGCCCTCTGTGGTCCTTTGCCCGAGATGACACCCCTGTCTGCATCCACTGCTCCCGTCTCGCTGCCACCATCCCCTCCTGGTTCTCCCCTGAGTGAGCGCCATGGCAGTAAGTCACATACATGTGAACCTCCACCTCAGGGTTGGCTATGGGGCTGGGGAGAGGGTATAGCTCAGTGGTAGAGTGTGTGCCTAGTAAGCACAAGGTCTGGGTTCAATCCCCAGTACCTCCATTAAATAAACAAATAAATGAAACCTAACTACCTCCTCCCCGCTCCTATAAAACCTACATACAGGGTTGGCTCTGGGGAACCTGGTTCAAGACAGGATCTGAAAGATGATCCTGCCGACTTGTCTTCAGATACTTTTGCTTCCATCTCCCACCAAAGGAAAAAAATCATGTGCTCTTTTCTTGTATATTTTAAAGTTAAATAATATCTGACTTTTTAAAATGATGAGTTAAAATAGTTAGAAAGGATGTAACTTGTGACACTGTAAAAACTGACATTCAAAAATAAAACTTTCACATTTCCCATTTAATTTACCTAACGGAATCTAAATATCA